TTGGGATTCATTCTGGTCAGAAAAATTTTTGTTCTGTGATTATACCAGTGGATTACAGTGAATGGAGAAGCTTTTTCATGTACGCGAAACATGTATATCTGTCCTCTCCACTGCACTTCTTATCGAATCTTATGTGCTACTTTCTTACTCATCATTGAGCCATGATTACCTGCGTAAGCACGATAAGGCCGGATTATTTTTCTCTCACTGTAGACTGCTTTCGCTATTATTTGTTTTGATGATTTGTAGCTTTTTTTATTTTTCTTGTTAAATAATCAATCTACTCCTTTTTGTATGGTTCGCTTACGTTACGTGAAACTGTTCGCTTAACGCGAAACCTCTTGCAGCAAAAATCCGTTACTTTCTAACCTGTTTCCCGATGGCGCCATGCGAATCACGGAGATTACCAAAAGGCCACAGACAAGCGCTTCACGGTTCCGCGATTCTATGAACCGACTGGTAGACATTCTTACGTCGAAAGTGCCGTTCTATATCCGCTGCATCAAACCCAACGACAACATGATGCCGTTCCTTTTCGACGACAATCGGGTGGAACACCAGATTGCCTATCTCGGCCTGATCGAGAACATTCGCGTTCGCCGAGCTGGCTTCGCGTATCGCATATCCTATGACCGATTTATCAAGAGGTACGTGTATTATAAGGCCATCTTTGATTTTAAACTTGATAATATTTTTTTGTACGGTACGATATTTGTACTAAGTTTATGTTAGTCTTTTTTACTTCTGCGCATGGTGGATATGATTAGTCATAAATGGTAAATAAAGATGTAACATATCATTAAATTGTAATTCCGCATGGCTGTTCACAACTTTGATATTAGGGACGTTAGCTATTGAGATAAAACTTCGTTTTGCTATTTTTAAGTATGGCCACCGTATGGTGCTGTCGCATTCAGAGCATCTAAGTGCAAGGATAACAACCTTGGGATGGGGCAGGGATTTTATCTTTTCATATATGCCCTTTAACCTGTAAATCAATACCTATTCAACGCAAAAGCCGATAAAAAGAATTAAATTTTCTAACAGACTGGCTGCCATTGCATTTTTTAGGAACACTGAATGATATGCATAACTCTCTGCTGCAGTGAACGAAGTAAAAAAGCTTGTCTCTGATATTGGCCTTGTTCTGAATGAACCCTTCAAAAGCAACCTGATGTGGCTTTATTGCATAATGCACCTGTCGTGTGACTCATCAAACAGTGAAAGGGAACCTTCTTCCTGTGACAAAGGAGGTAAAATATCTTGGCATCATGTGCTCTTCAGACCTAAATGGAATGCAGTGTCTTCACACCTCAGTGTTCTTCAAGAAGTTATTGGCCCAAACCTTGAATGTTTGATTGTTCTAAAATACCGCGGAACGTAGTGCAAAAACGTGTATTAGTCTGTATAGAATCACGAATCTCATGTAATAGGTCCGTAGTTATTCCATCAGTGAGTAAAGCAGACCCACTTGTGATATTCCGTGAATTGTTGTCAAGAATTGGTCACATGAATTTCGGCACGTTTCACGAAGCGAGTCACTCAGCAGATAATATTCTGCAGCTCAAAAAAAATTTTCAGCGACAAGTCCCACCAGCTACATGAATCAGTTTCATAACCCTACATATATGAACATGAAGTACGTTCACACATGCCACAACGGAATTTTACTGACGATCGTCAGTCCCGTTTCCGTCGCGCTGGATAGTAGACCGTTGTAAAGTTAAGAAGGAACTGTTGTATATCCTGTGACATAAGACTTGTTTGTTTATAGTAAGGTTACAAGCAATAATGATGCTGTCAATGGCGCTTGAGTGCCACGGTTTTTGATTACGTCCACAATAAAGGAAGTTTCAAATATAAACGTTATGCACATTATTAAGAAAATACACAATTTTAATGTGTTGGTTATGTTAACTATTCGTAATTACAAATCATTGCCATTATTCAAGGATGTCACAAACTTTTACTTGACGCACAAGCGCGGGGTAAGTTTCGAACGTAGAATGTGCCAGTTTTTAACTAGAATTTTCCCCCATCTTCATTTAAATAGTCTAACTTCCCGATTTATTAACTGCTTGCTGGAAACCGCAGCCAAAGTGTGATTCCACTTGTTTTCAAGATTTGCCTTGTGTTTTTATAATAACTTAACGTCATGTTGTCATGTTTAAGGTTGCGTAGTAAACCAATAATTAAGAGTGAACTATGATTCATTTATTTTGTTTATATATTTATTTTCTATTTACGTATTGTTTCGGAGGGTCACAAATGGGATAACGCATAAAGTCTTTAAATATAATTATTCAGTAGAAATATTAGCGTTTGGAATCGAAGTCCCTCCGTCTTCAGAGGTTTTCATAGCGTCTTTTTCATACAGTTTTGATTGATCCGTATGATGAATTGCACTGTGCCTGTCGCTAGTCCTAAAGGACTGGTTCGTGTTGTCGATATGCCGCAGTGACGCCACTCCGATACTCAGTCTCCCTACAGAACGTTAATAATTAAAGATTGTATGACTCTTGATCATTTGCGATTTGAAACAAATTGTCATCTGCCGCATTGTGAAGTCATGTACCATTTTCTACATTATAAAATTATTCATCTTCATCTTCTTCATCTTCCATCGCCGCTTCTCCTTTCGAGTCGCGAAGGCAGACGCGTCAGACAGTGCTTCCAACGTTCCTGATCCTGTGCCAGAGTCTGAGCTTCGGCAAAAGAC